TTTATGATTCAAGTCTAAATGACTAAATGGTAACATTTATGATTCAAGTCTAAATGACTAGTTGGTAACATTTATGATTCAAGTCTAAATGACTAATTGGTAACATTTATGATTCAAGTCTAAATGACTAAATGGTAACATTTATGATTCAAGTCTAAATGACTAATTGGTAACATTTATGATTCAAGTCTAAATGACTAATTGGTAACATTTATGATTCAAGTCTAAATGACTAATTGGTAACATTTATGATTCAAGTCTAAATGATTAAATGGTAATATTTATGATTCAAGTCTAAATGACTAAATGGTAACATTTATGATTCAAGTCTAAATGACTAAATGGTAACTGGTATTCGTGAGGTTGAGGCTTTCTTTTTCTCTTCCTCTCTTGTCGAACTCTCTGCCTCCGATCGGAGAGAAATCCAAACCAGACTATGCCGAAGAGCAGAGCCCCATGTTAAAAACTGGCCTTGTGCCACATCTTTCTATGTGGGAGGGGGGTTGGTAAATATAGAGAAGTTACTATTTACGAGTGTGCATTATGTTAGGTTATTTGAATGCTAGTATACCTTTATTTTAACACGAGCATTTGTATATTAATACTATTTTAAGAGAATCAGAGTGAGATCAATTAACGATTTAAACCGTTTCCAACGATACGGGCAAAATTCCTTCATGATACGAATCGAAAGACAAACAAGCAAATTGACAACTCAACAATTCATAGGGTTTCTATTTACTCGGATTGATGAGCTTACATTATTTCCTTGAGTATTACTATGGAAATAAACCTGGAAGAACAAGACAAAAACTGTGTTATATCTGCATACATATTCTCGAAGAGAAAAAAGGTGAAAAACTGTGATAACTTGATACAAAGAATGGGGATATCTATTGACCATAAAATGCTTTAAGGTGTATCATTGGAAAAAAATTAAATTTAATATCATAACATTTTTTTTATATCAGTTTTTTTCTCCATTTTTATAATCTAAAATTTTTACATTATAATTATAAACGTAAAAACTCTCTCTCTATCTTTAATGTGACGTGTCGCATCCCTTCAGGGCGTTGGCGATCATGGCTTTCCACAGTTTCCTGCTTGTTCTGGGTTTACTAATCCAGTCTCTCAACAAATATCGTTTCCATCCTTTATAGAGGGTTTCGTAACATTGTGTTGGAGCAAAACTGAGATTTTAGCACTTAAATGGCTGGCATTACCAACAGATTTTTCATTGGTTATGGATATGATCAATTGACAATTTAGATCTTTTACAAAGATACGGGCTTAATTCATTCATGATTCAATACTAAATAAACTACATTCGCCTGCAAGGGCTCTGATCACGAAGTTATGAGGTGTGTGGAACCACCTGTTAATTGCTTTTTTCCCATGTCCACCCTGACTCAGGGTGGTAGTATCTGCTAGGGTCCCAGCTGTGGGCAAATACTTAACCCCGAAACTGGTGTAAAAAACACTATGAAAGTATAAAAACAATTTTTTATAGTAAAAATACCAACAATACGTTTTTCTCAAAAAAAAATATTACCAGCAATCCATTTGACTCGACAAAAAATGCATCAATGAAATCTGACCTAGACACTGATATATTACAAAGAATACATATTCTATTCTTACGAACCTATCTTGAAAATCTTGTTGACATTACGTAAACAATTGCGCTTGATATGCTGCAAAACAAAATTTCTTAATAAATTTTGTATTTTTGCTATCTCTCCAAAACGTTGCCCAGCCATCTATTCTCTCAAGCTCGCTTAGTAGGTTATGTGATGATCTTCCCTGTCCTGTGAGTGTCAAATTTTCCAAGCCCACTTTCCTCATTATGTGCCCCAGAAGTGCTATTTTTGTTAATGGAAACAAAAAGAGGGCTTATATTTGCAGAAGCAGGTCGCAACTTCATGATTGCGGTGGACGTTGTACCACGTTGTCGTCGCATTATAATCTACCATGTCAACATAATTGAACATCATTTATGATGGAGAATACCTTTCTTTAAATGTCCGCATAACCACTCTGAAGATGGCTAATGTAAGCCGAAAGCTTAGATCAAGGAACAGCATAATAAAAAAATATCTAAATGTCGGACAAATTTTGTCTTTGTTTTAACCCCGAAATTAAAGCAACTATACGGAGTTTAGAACGGCTCATGATCAAACATAATATATATTCGTTGTCTGTTATATTTAAAAATATATGTTTGAATAATGAGCTGCTGCCCCAATAAACAAAATATCTAAATGTATATATATATATATATATATATATATATATATATATATATATATATATATATATATATATATATATATATATATATATATATATACATACATATATATATATATATATTTGTATAATTAGGCAGCAATCCTTCCTTTATGCATGTTTCGTTAGCGAAACATGCATATATATATATATATATATATATATATATATATATATATATATATATATAAAGGCTCAAACACTAATATTTCATCATTATAATTTATTACATTGGAATTGGAATTTGTAGTTCTGATGATGTGGATAGCGATTACGATTCCAATGTAATAAATTATTAACCATAGAATATTAATGTTTGAGCATTTTATATTATATTCATATTCTCTGTCTTGGATATTGAGTTCTACCTGGATTCTATCCTATTTGGATTTATATATATATATATATATATATATATATATATATATATATATATATATTATGAAATGGACAAAGTGTGCCAATTATTTTTAAGACATTTTATGTTTATACATTCTTTTTATAGATACAAATATTTTAAATGTTTGTTTATAATAAACAGTATTAAACAACATTTACCGGAGGACGAATATTTTCTATGAAATATTCTCGAACATTCAGGCTTTGGTAAATGTTGTTTAATACTGTTTATTATAAACAGAGCATTTACTTAAATATTTGTATCTATAAAAAGAATGTATAAACATAAAAATGTCTATATATATATATATATATATATGACCAATTAATATTATCTATCTATCTATCTATCTATCTATCTATCTATCTATCTATCTATCTCCATATATATATATATATATATATATATATATATATATATATATATATATATATATATGAAATGAAAAAAAATGAAAATGGCATTTAAACATTGAGTTCAGATGCCGGTGTTGAAATCCAAATATTAACCAGGATTTCAAATGCAGGTAAAATTTCCGAAAACTTTTACAATTGGCTCATTGCAATCGTTCAATACATCTTTACAGACAGGCAAAAAAAAACTAAAGTTTAGAAGAAAAGGGAGGAAAGAAAGAAGAGTAGAATAATGAAAAAGAGAACGAAATTCATTTGCATTTTTTCTTTCTTTCATTTCTTAAAAAAAAAAAAATGAAAGAATAAATATGATAATGAAAACGAAAGAATAAAAAAAAATCGCTGAGAGAAAAAGAAAAAAAGAAATCAAAATGAAGAAGAAAAGAAAGAAAAATCAAGAAAAATAAGAAAAAGGTTAAAAATAGAATGAAAATAGAAGAAAATAGAAAAAAAGAAAGACGTAAAGCATGAAAGGAAAAGTACATTTTTGTAATAAAATGACTAACAATACATTTTTATACTAAACTCGGAGACCTCCGGGGCGGACTTGATTACCCGATCTGTACGTACTCGTAACTTGTCCTCAACAGCAAAATTACAACTTAAACGAACAAATAAATAAATAATAAGAATGTATATATATATATATATATATATATATATATATATATATATATATATATATATATATTTATGTATGTAAGTGCAGGTATGCAGAAAATAGAAAAGAACATGTTGGGTGCATAATTCGGAGTTCCTTAGTATTTTTGTTTTTATTTTTAAGAAGACAGTGCTCCATACAGAAGTTTTATTATAATATTTTTTTGTTTAAAAATATGATTCCTTCGCTGCATAAGAGTTCTCATGTTTCAAAAACGAGAGCCGAAATCATCCCAATAATTTCGCTTGAAGATGAAACGAGACTAAACACCTCAATTCAAATTAATTTTAATAATTATTTGGATGATTTTGGCTCTCGTTTTTGAAACATGAGAACTCTTATGTAGAGAAGGAATCATATTTTAAAAAAAAAAAATATATATATATATATGTGTTTGTATATATATATATATATACATATATATATATATATATATATATATATATATATATATATATATATATATATATATATGTGTGTGTGTATTAAGGCATGTGTTTTTTAAAGACTACGGAACACTTCCATTTGATGATTTTTTCTCTGTTTTTTCTTGCTTCCTCGCAAGTTTCTTAATGTTTGGGTCCAGGTTTTTAAAAGTTTACCATTTCTATACGTACTCATTGACTCCAACAACAAAGATACATTTGACACATCAATCACTCTTATAATGACTAACAATACATTTTTATACTAAAATCGGTGACCGTCAGAGCGGATTTGGTTACCCGACCTGTAGATACTTGTAACTTGGCTCCTACAACAAAATTACAACTTAAACGAACAAATAAATAAATAAATAATCCCCTTGAAAATGTGAACAAGAAAATATATATATATAAGAAAAAGAAAGACGTAAAACTTATAAGGAAAGGAAAAGTACATTTTTATAATAAAAGGACTAACAGTATATTCCTTGTGAAAAGACCAAATGCAACAAAGAAAGAAAGAGAATGAAAGAGAAATGTAATTAAAAAATACATTAAATAAGAACGTAAAGAATAAAAGGAAAGGAAAAATGAATGTAAAAGCAAATAAAGATTCGATAAAGAATAAACAATACAAATAAGAGAACAAAATGAAAAAAGAAAAGAATGAAAAAAAATACAATAAATAAAAAATTAAATAGTAAAGAAGAAAAAGAAAATGAAAGAAGTAAGGAAAGAAGGAAATATTATAAGGATAGAAGAGACATATATCTTTAGGGACAGTCAAAGAAAAGGAAAGTGTAGAAGAAATCCTAAAGGAAGAAAAGGGAGGAAAGAAAGAAGAGTAGAATGAAGAAAAAGAGAACGAGATTCATTTGCATTTTTCTTTCTTTCATTTCTTGAAAGAAATAAAAAAAAAGAAAAACGAAAGGATAAATAAGATAATGAAAGAAGTAATGAAACAAGGAAATATTATAACGACAAAAGTGACGGATAAAGCCGGCATTGCAAAATAAATAAAAAGGAAAGAGAAAAGAGTTAAGAAAATGCAATAAAGAAAGAAACAAAGAATAAAAAGAGGAGAAAAGGTAGAGCAAAGAAAAGGGAAGAAAACATAGAAATATTTGCAAAAAAATGAAAGAGAACAATAAAGAAAAAAAAGTCTCTAAAAATGAAAGAACGGGACGAGAGAAAAAAAGAAAAAAAATGGAAGAAAGATTAAAATTAAAGCTAAAAGCCTGTGAAAGAAATTTTGAAGGTCGAATAAAGAAATAAATCTATATATGAATTCGAATTGGAAGAAAATTCAATAGATAGAAAGCACAAATGAGAAGAAAGTACAAAGTGAAAAGACGTATAAAATAATAAGCAAGGGAGGGAGACAGAGAGAGAGAGAGAGAGAGAGGGGGGGAGCGAAAGAGAAGGACAGAGCGAGAAAAGGATAGAGAAAAGGAGAGAGATAGGGAAAGAGAAGGAGAGAGATAGGGAGAGAGAGAAAGAGAGAGAGAGCGAAAGAGTAGGAGAGAGATAGAAGGATAGAGAAAAGGATAGAGATAGGGAAAGAGAAGGAGAGAGATAGGGAGAGAGAGAAAGAGCGAAGGAGAGAGAGAAAAGAGAAATAGAAATTGAAGGAAAGAGAAAGAGAGAGCGGGAGAGGGAGAAATAGAAAGAGAAGTAGAGGGAAAAAGAGAAAGAGAAAGAGAAAAGAAGAGAAAGAGAGAGAAGGAGAGAGAAGGGAGAGAGAGAAAGTGAGACAAAGAGAAAGAGAGAGAAATACAAAGAGAAGGAGAGGGAGAGAGAAGTAGAAAGAGAAAGAGAGAGAGAAGGAGAGAGAGAGAGAGAGTAAAAGTGAAGGAGTAAGAGAGGGAGAGAGAGAAAGAGAGTGAGAAGGAGAGAGCGGGAGAGAGATAAAGAGAGAGAGAGAGAGAGAAATTAAGAGATAGAGAGAAAGGGAGAGAAGGGGTGGTCTTAAAATGACCCTTAACAAACGCGCAATCAAAAAAAAAATGGATGCGATGAGGTCAAGAAACGATGTCAAAGTGTAAAGGAACGGGTATGCACTAAATGAGAATGAAGCGTTAAAAAAAAAACAAAAGAAAAAAGAAATTCTTCTTCGGGGTGCCGTATTTTTGAATTACTCATTCCACCTGAAACGTCAGGCTTCCTCTTTACCCGGACGCCCTTACTCTACCCAGCATGTTTAGTTTATTTATTTTCGAAATTATTTGTTATATTTCTTTCTTATTTTATTCTATCTCATTAACTACCATATCAAACTCCCGCCTGTGGCAAAATCTAAACCCTTTCCCACAAGCGTTTTTCGATCGACGTAAAATAGCAACCGACTCTCACTTCGATAAAGCGGCCTTTCGCTTGTCTTTTTAATTTTTATTCTTCATTTTTCTGTTAGTTATTTAAGAAAAATAAGAATTGCGCAAGTAATCGGCCAGCTGGAAACAAAAAGATCGTCTGCTCCTTGAAAAATCAACAAAAGACACGTGATTCAGTTACGTCACGATGTTAGTTCTTTGTTTAGACCTTTTTTTATTCCTTTTTTATTTTATTTTTAGTTATTGGTTGGAGGGAGATTAAAAGCAGTCTCATCTTTTCTTTCTTTTCTTTATTAGAAAAAAAAAATGCTTTGTGCTTTTCCTCCCCCACCCCATTCTTTCCTCTCGCTTCTTTTTAGTTTCTTTTTTGACTATAATATCTAGTTAATGATTTTCGCTGATTGTCGATTGACGCCATTTTAGAATTCCGGGGCACATTTGACGACAGATTTCTTTTTTGTTTTGCTTTGTTATTGCGCGGGAAATTTTGTCATTAGCAAAAGAAGGAGATGTATTAGATTTGATACGGCTTACGGACGTTGGTATGCGCTTGACATGTGTTGGCATATGTACGAGGGACGTTTTTATTATTTTTTTTATCTATTTTTTTGTGAAATTTACCGTGAGTCACGAGAGATTTCGGCATCTATAAGTGTATGCATGAATTGCTTTCGGAAAAAAATGGGATATATTTATATATAACTTTTCAAATAAATAGCCACTACATTTTTTTTTAATATATAAAAAAAAACACTGATTGAAATTTAAAGTTTTATTTAATGAATAATAGCGATGCCTAATCTGCGCAGTTATGATGAGAGATAGCTCGTTCTGTGCCGAGGAAAACAAACGGCAAATTAATTGTACTGAAAGTCAAAGTTTTGAATTAACAGCAACAGGGAGGTGCTGAAGGTTTAAAATGGTTCGTAAAGCTGATTTGATGGATAAAGAGAAAGTCAGTACATGAAAAAATTAGAAGAACACAAGAACTAGCAAAATAATCAGCTGGTACATTCTTCCATTATTTACATTATTCAGGCTATTATCCTCATCTTCATTGCAATATTCACAACGTTTCGGTCGTTGCATGCCCCGGCCTTCTTCAGGTGACTGGAATTTCGAACCGAACCCTTTATTTCGCCCACCGCAGTAGATTGTTCTAGTTCCACGTGTCATGTCTCTTCCGGATGTCTCTGTTATTTCCTCAAAGAAACTTGGCCCGGTGGATAAATGCGTTAGTTAGATCCAGTGACTAGACCCCAAGAGTTGTGAGTTCAATACCAGGCTACAGCAGTTGTGAACCAAAACATGGAGAGTTGAATTAAAGGGAAATAACTGGAAGAGACGTGGCATGTGGAACTAGAACAATCTACCTCGGTTGACGAAATAAAGGGTTCGAATCGATATTCCAATCATCTGATGAAAGCCAGGGCGTACAACGGCAGAAACGTTGTGAATATGGCAATGAAGATGAGGCTAACAGTCCGAATAATTTAAATAATGGAAGTAATCATAATACCTCATCTCAGAGATATAGAGGCCGAAACGTTTTGAATATAGCAATGAAGATGAGGATAACAGTCCGAATAATGTATCTCAGAGATATAGACAGATATTGGTACGTTCTTCACCTTTTATGGGCCGTGTCCCTTCAGGGCGTTGGCGATCATGGCTCTCCTCAATTTTCTGTTCTTTGTAGCTCTTAATAAATTTTGTCTTGTATCTCTTCTGCACCTTGTTCCGCCATCGATTTATTCAAGCTCACGTCGGATGTTATGCATTGATTTCTTCTGTCTTTCTTGCTTTCCATCTGTTTTGTGAGTATCAACATTTCCAAGTCATCTTTCCTCATTGTGTGCCCTATAAATTTCAACTGTCTCTTCCTGATGTTAAATATAAGCGTCCTTTTTCTCTCACTTTTCTCTAAAACTCCGTCGTTACCAACATATTCAGTCCATGGTATTCCCAGCACCTTTCTATAGAATTACATTTACGTTGCTGCAAGTCTTCTTGATCTGTGAGAAGAATGTCGAGTATTCACTGCCATATAGTGGAAGTGATATTACATAACAGTTCAGTATGCTTTTCTTTGTTTCTAATGAAATTTTCCTGACTCATCATACTTAGCCGACGTGACGTGTGTTAAGTCCGACTTCTTCAGGGTGGAATGAATGACAAAACTGTCTGTAAGGAAAATGCGATGGCATTTTTGAGGATATGAGGAGGCAAAAAATCAAATTACCTTTTCAGATCTGACAACCAAACTGCAAAAAAGTGTTTGTTGGTTTTATATACAGGGTGATATGGCTAAATTTTCGTCTGAATGATGCAGAAATTAAAATAATACTGACATCTCATTTTAGCAGATATATGTACCAAAATTTCACAAAAATGTCTTGAAATTGTAAAGAGTAAATTCATTCAACAAAATCGTCATTAGCTTCAGCCACGGCCTCTAGACGTCTTTGGAATCTCCTGCAACTCTTTTGGGCTGTTTCCTTGTTTAAATTGGTGAATGCAACCATAATCCTTGCCTTCAGTTCATCTTTGGTGCTACAAAAGGTTTTTCTTGGTCTCTTGCTCATCTGTGCCCTACACATACTAATCAAGGGGTTTAAAGTCCAGGGAATTAGGTGGCCAGATGAAATGGGTGATGTGGTCGCGAAAAGTGTCTGACAGCCATGACTGGGTCATCCTGCTTTTGTAGCATGATGCACATCCATGTTAACATGGATAGGGTCTTCCAGCAGACACCATCTTGACGCAAGGGCTTCGCTACATCTTCAGATCACTTGACGTAGGCGTCGGTGTTGAGTCTGAGTCCCTGTGGGAAGATGAATTGAGTCATAACGTCACTATCACTAGTGATCACTCCAAATACCTTCGTAATCACCATTAGACTCATCCAACTCTTCCGAATCCTCTGCACTCTCCTCAGACTGACACCGAGACATTTTGAAATGTTTGCATTGAAGCTTTCGCCGTGAATGCCAAGCTGCACAGCATGCTGTTCACAAAGTTCTCTCTCTCTCTCTCTCTCTCTTTATATATATATATATATATATATATATATATATATATATATATATATATATAATATTAGAATTATCAGGATTTAGACAAGTCATTATAGAAATTCATCGAGTCTAGAAGAATCTTTAACAGAATGCAGAAAGCACTGGACGGCCGTTTCGTCCTATTTTGGGACTCATCAGCAGTCCGCATCCACTACCGAGAATCGAACCCGGACCGTTAGGATACGACGCGAGCATCATACCAACGGGCTTCGGTGACGAAGAGGTAACTATCTAGACTCGATATAGCGGTACTCTCATTTTCCGTGGTGTAACTCATTCAAGTATACTTCCCTTAAGATTGTGTCCCCACCCTACACGAGCTATGTCTTCTTTCTCCAAGCAACTCCCTCCAGATCATTAGAAGCTGGTTCAAGCACGGATATACAAACGATAGAGATTATTTGGGGTGAGGGTTGAATAAACAAATTAAGTAATTCATCGAGTCTAGAAGAAACGTCAACAGAATGCAGAAAGCACTGGACGGCCGTTTCGTCCTATTTTGGGACTCATCAGCAGTGCGCATTTCACTACCGAGAACTGAATGCCGAACACTTACGTTATCAGACGAAGATGTAGCGAATTAGACTCGATATAGCGCCCGCCCGATCACATATTTCGTGGTGGGACTCATCCGAGTTTCCCTTGCCCATAGAATTGTGCCCCCACCCCCGAACTACGACTACCATCCCCAAGCCGCTCCATGCAGAACATTAGAAGCCGGTTCAAGCAAGGATATAGAAGTGATAGGAATTATTAGGATGATTTGAGTTAATTATAATTAAGTAATTCATCGAGTCTAGAAGAAACCTCAACAGAATGCAAAAAGCACTGGACAGCCGATTCGTCCTATATTTGGGACTCATCAGCAGTACGCATCCACTACAGAGACAGTTACAATACAATGCAATCGTCATACCAGCTGTACCAACAGGCCTCAATTAGCGACGCTATATCGAGTCTATTCAGTTTGTTCTGCGTCACCTCGGCTCGTAGATACAGTTGGCATGACGCTTGCATTGTATCGTAACTGTCTGGGTTCGAATCTCGGTAGTGGATGCGCACTGCTGATGAATCCCAAAATAGAACGAAAAGGCTGTTCAGTGTATTCTGTTGAAAATTCTTCTAGGCTCGATGAAATATTATAATTATATTTTTAAAATTTACTTAAATGAATTGTATCGATAAGAATAACGTATAAAAGAAAATACACATTCATTATAGTGATTTTCTAAGCGCTGCGTAGATGTGGCACAATCCCGAGAGTATGAAGCATCCAGTGAGGATCGAACTCACTACTCAGTTGTAATTGTTCTGGCGAGGTAAACTTGCTAACCATTACACCACGTTTCATAATATGTTTCGATTGTTTACGTTAAAATAGGTTTCGTGAGCAAATATGATCTGGAAAAGTTGTCGAAGATTGTGTGTTTATAAACAGGAAATTGGACTTTGGTAACCGGACGATTCTCTGTAGCTAAATGGTGTAGCACGTCAGATCAAATAAAGGTTTCCGTATAGGAATACAGGTGCGATTTCTGTCGGAGAACACGTATTTTGTACGACATTTCTCGAACATTCAGGCCGGTAAATGTAATTAATACCGTTTAATTAAAAAACGGAGCATTTACTTAAATAAATTATATATATATATGGTATAAACAGAATATATATTAAATAATTGTCGGGCTAAATCCATTACATTTACACACACACACACACACACACACACACACACATATATATATACAGTGGGGGAAATAAATATTCGTACACATGAAAAATTGTATTTTGATAAATGAAAAAGCCTTAACTAAAACACATTTTGATACATTTTATGTGTAAAGATACATTTTATTAAAAAAATAGTAATAAACTTAATTAATTCTTATTCTAACAGAATTTAATACATTTTTTCATTTTAACTGATGAAAAAAGTATTCGTACAAAACAAAAAAAAGCATATTAACTTTAATACTTTGTGGAATATCCTTTATTGAGTTCAACAGCTCCCAGTCTATTCCTGTACGTCTCAACTAATGATTTGCTCACATTGAGTGGTATTTTGTCCCATTCTTCTTGGTATATTGTCTTCAAATTCTTAATATTTGTTGGTGCTCTTTTCCCAATTTGAATTTTTAAATATCGCCATAAATTCTCGATTGGGTTCAAGTCTGGGGACTGACTTGGCCATTGCAAGACATCAACGTTACTTTCAGCTTACCATTTCCTTGTAGATCTAGCGATATGCTTAGGATCATTATCCAGTTGGAAAACCCAATCAGGAGGTAGCCGAAGTCTCTCAACAGAACGGATTAAATTGTCTTGCAGGATTTTCTGGTATCTTTCGGCATTCATCTTGCCATCTATTATTGATATTCTGCCAACACCTTTTGCAGAAAAACAACCCCAGATCATGATACTGCCACCACCAAACTTTACAGTTTGCAACGTGTTCTTTGGTAAGTAGGCTTCACCGGTCT